AGTTGTTTTGCGTGTAAAATAATCTTGGCAGTTGTTCCCCACACCATTTTCCGAGGACAGTGGCGCTTCTGCTGAAACACAACCCTGAACGTGGGTGTGGCCCGGTTCTGGCCTGTAGCTGTCCCCACCCCAGGAGCCGCCTCTTGGAGCCGGGCCCTGTGTGAGTGTTAGGGTCGGCACCAGGCAGCTGTTTGGTTCCCAGAGCGCGCGTGGTGGCCCTGGGCTGAGGTTTGTGAGACTGTGGTTTCCAGAGGAGCTGGGCGCCCCTGCATCTCTGCGAGCCCTGCCAGGGAGGGAGGGCCCATCTGGCATGGCCCGGGACCCGGTGCGCCACAGAACCACCACAGGCCCGCCTCTGTCTGTGCTGCTGGGTGGCTTCCGGCCCCGCCTCTGGCCCCCAGCAGCAGTGGCCTTGGCGTGGGTCCTGCGTGTATCACTTGCAGTTTCTGCAGGGACCTGTGGCCTTGACACTGCCGTCTGCTATTGGTTTCGGGGCATTGGTGTCCGTAGGAAATGAGCTAAGAAGTGTTCCCTCTTTTTTTTTTTTTTGCTTTTTGTTTTGTTTTGTTTTTTATTTGGTACCGGGGATCGAACTCAGGTCCTAGCGCTTTCAAGGCAGACAGCAGAACCACTGAGCTAAATCCTTGGCCCTTTTGGCTTTTTGAAACAAACAGACTCTATAGAATAGGGGTTAAATCTTTTTTGTGTTTTGTTTTTTTGTTTTTAGGTGAGACGCAGTCTCACTATGCAGTCCAGGCCTCCAACTCCCGAGATCCTCCTGCCTCAGCCTCCTGAGTGCTCAGTTACAGTTCTGCACCACCGCACCTAGCCTAAATCTTTAAATGCTGTTAAAATTCCCCAGCAAATTTTAAGCTCCAGGATGGTTGACTGGCCAGTTTTGCAGGGCTGGGGTCCAACCCCAGGCTTCAGTCAGGCTAGGCGTGTGCTCCACTGTACGTCCTCAGCCCCACATTGCATTTTTTTCTTTTGTAGTACTGGGGGTCCAACCCAAGGCCTTTGCTTTACACAGGGTCTTGCTAAATTGCTGGCTTGGAACTTGCCATCCTCCTGCCTCAGCCTCCCGCGTGCTGGGATGGCAGGTGTGCGCCACCACATCCGGCAGAGTCAGCTTTGGGCATCCTTGGTTTTCTGGCTGCTGCTGAGTCTCACTGCCCTCTGCTGCCATCTCTTGGGCATCCCCCATGGCCAACTGCTCCCCGGAGCTGTGGGCAGGGCTCGGAAGCCTTTCTTGTGTAGCCTGGACCCAGTGTGGCTGCTGCTCGCCTAGCGTCCAGTCTGCAGCGGCCTCCTTTCTGTCCCGGGAGACACGCTCAGAGGACCCGGCCAGCCTGCCTCCCCGCCTCCCACCTTCCCTCCCTCGCTTGGTGGCCACAGGCGTGGAGGGCCTTGAGGAGGCTCAGCGTCTGTCCCTGCTGCTTCTGCGCCGCCAGCCAACCTACGCGTCTCCCGCTGTGCCCCTGGGTGCGGGCGGTGCGTTCCACGCTCAGTCCTTCCCGCTGCTCACTTCCTCCCAGGGACGCAGCCCTCTGGAGACGCGGGCTCTGGGGTTTTCCTGAGCAGTCCGTCCGTCCGTCCGTCCCACCTGAAGCCGCACCAGATGTTCCCACGCAGGGGTGCTCTGTGGCCGTGCGCTCTGTAGCAGGGAGGCAGCCCGCAGACTGTCACACGCTGGCATCACAGTGCTCAGGAGGCTGAGGCAGGAAGACCGCAGCTAGAGTCCAGCCCGGGCAACTTAGTGACTTAGCAAGACCCTGGGTTCAGTCCCTGTACTGCAGAAGAGGGGAAGGCACAGGACACTTGATTTCCTGCTGTCCCTTTGTCAGTTTCCTGCAGCCCCACGCTGTCTGGGCAGGGAGTCGGCCAGGTCCCGGCCCCAGGAGGCAGCCTGAGGCCGGCTCCGCCCCCACCCTGGCGCCCTGCGCAGCAGCAGGACCTGTCTGCAGCCCGTGCCAGTCCCCACGGTCCTGTCTGGGTCCTCACCACGGCTGCCAGGCTGCGAGGTCTCGCCTTCACGCCTCCGGTCCCATCCGAGCTGTCGCGCTGGTTCGGAAACCATCCCGCCGTAGCCCGCTGCTTTGGGTCGGTCTGCATTTCCTGCCTCCACGTCCTGCCCCTCCCAGGCTGCACTCTGGTACTGCGTCCTGCTCTGCGGCCCAGCCCTGGGTCTGCAGATGTGCAGTCCCCGCCCCGCTTCCCTCTGGGCGCCAACTGCTCACTCTCCCTCCCTTCTGAATGCCAGCGTCACACAAACCTCGTCAGCCCTAGGCCTCCAAACCTCTGTTCATTCTGTACCATGTTTTCTCTCCGTGAAACAGAGTGGATAGTTTCTTTTATTTTTTCTTTCTCTTTTATTCAGTCCTTTACAATGAACTGCATCGCCAACGCTTTCTGAGGCAGGGTCTCACTAAACTGCTACGTGACCCAGGCTGGTCTCCCACTTGGAACCCTCCTGCCTCGGCCTCCCACAGTGCTGGGATCACTGGGGCACACCACACCCAGCTCAGGCTGGATGTTCTCTGTGGATCTGCCTTCGGGTTCCCCAGTCCACTGGCCCCTTCCGTGTTGTCTCCACACAGCTGTGGAGCCCATCTGGCCCCAGCTGATTTTACGATTGTGTCTCTCAGTGTCGCTCTGCTGAGGCTTCTGTCTGCACATGCATCGCACACTCTTGCATGTGGTTTTGGGTCAGTGTCCATGTCTGTCCCGTCCCACAAACCTTGAGATGGTGGCCGTGCATGTGCACAGGGAGGAGAAGCTGGGTCTCCAAGGGCTCGTGGGAGCCACTGCTCTGGGGGCTGGGGTCACAGCCCTGGCCGTCCAGGCATCAGGGTCTCAGAGTGTGACGCGGCTGGCTGGGCCGGTGGCCGTCCCCAGTGCTCGCGCTGCTCGTCCTCGCTGGCGCTGCTGCTGGCCTGGGCCGTGTGCTGTACCTGCCTGGCTGGGAAGCCCTCTGGGCACCGTCAGGCAGCCCTGGGGCGGACTGCGGAGCCTCTGGGCCTGGGCCGACCCCTGGCCAGGTCTTTGGGACTCTGCTGCGAAGCTCAGCCGGGTGGCTCTGACCCGGCAGGCAGGCTTGAGCTCCAGGGACAGGGCTGTGGAGGGAGGCCAGGCACAGGCACAGGCACAGCAGGGAGAAGGCAGAGCGGACAGGCTCCCGGTGGCAGAAGCTGCAAGCACCGCTGGGGCTCATCCCCGCCGTGTGAGGCAGGCTCTGCTCCCTGGCACCGCTGCCCTGTGCTGTGGCCCCTGCTCCATACGGCACAGGGTTACAGCGGCCCGGCGTCCCTGGCCTGCAGACGCCCGCACAGCGCAGCGCATGGCGCAGTGAGCCCAAGCCTGAGCCTGGCTGGTGTTGCTCTCACTTTGGGGTACAGCTTTTGAGACCCAGCAGCCTGGACGCCCACAAGCCCAGGGCGAGGGCAGCCCCAGGGGTGATGGGACGGCAGAAGCACACGGGGCAGATGATGTGGGGGCAGGGGGCGAGTGTGGGGCCAGGCCAGGGTCTGCAGTGGAGGGGTGGCCCCTGCTCAGGGCTAAGGACAGCAGGCATGGAGGGCCAGCCCGGCGCTCTGAGAGGCTGAGGCAGGAGGATCCCCATTTCCAGCCCTGCCTGCACAAAATAAAGAGCTGGGGTGCAGCTCCATGGGAAGACCCTGGCTTCCATCCCACCCCCGGACAGGGCAGGGTGTGGGAGGCCAGCAGCAGGGCCCGAGAGCAGCCTGCACCCCACGCAGGTCAGCGCCAATGGCAACGTGCTGCGCAGCGAGATCGTGGGCTCCATCAAGATGCGCGTCTTCCTGTCGGGCATGCCGGAGCTGCGCCTGGGCCTCAACGACAAGGTCCTCTTCGACAACACGGGCCGTGAGTGCCGCGGGG